GCTCCTGGGCAGTGCCCCTGTTAGCCGAATTGGCCTGACAGTCCAGGACAGGGAGTCGTGATCCCACAGCCCTCCCCAGATCTCCCCTGTCCTGTCACATTTGGCTTCTCGCATTCAGAGTCACTCAGTTGTCAGAATAATTTCTTATCTTGCCTTCACTCCATCTATAATTCATTAAGAAACCCAGAGGGGAGAAGCAGTCAGTTTTTCCCACTCTAGCTGAGCATGGTTTGCAGCAGGACATGAATGAAGCAGCCACACAACCCAGAAGCTGAGAGGAGAGTGGTGGGAGAGGGACATGCTGCTACCTCCTGCCAGGCCACCAGGGCATGGTGTCTGCCTCTTGCAAAGCACATCCCATACGTGTTCTGCCATAAGCTCAGGCAGATCTTTGCTCACAAAACCCAGGTCAGATGCTGGACGTGAAGCACACTATATCTGTCAGTTCCTGAGCTTCAGAAGAAGTTCAGGTTTCAGTCCAAGCTTGTGCAGCAGCTTCCCCGCTAGTTAAAATTTTCACTCCATGTGCTCTCTAAAATTGCAGTCTGTATCTTGGTTTCAAAACTGCTTCACCCCAGATACAGCTTTTTCTTCTTCTGTTTTGCAACAAACTTATACTTGCATGTTGTACACCCCCTACTTCACCAACTCTGGCTGCACTGCCTCAGCTCTGCTTTATCCCTCCAACAGCTGCAAGGAAAAATAACACATTCTTCACTGTAGAAGTGCAGGCCATGCAATGAAATATCTGTCTTTCTGAAACTGCAGATGTAATTGGGCACTTAAGTGCAATTTTGAGGAAATGGCTGCGGGTGTTATTTGTCATATAGGTTCCACTAACAGCAAATAGTGATGTCTAAAAAGCAAGAGAAAGTTCCCACAAGTAGGAGAGATTTAATTCAATATAGTGTAAGGATTGGTTTTCTAAACTGATACTGGCTTTGAAATGTGAATGTAAAGTGCTGTTTGCATTTTGTCTTCAATTAAATAACCAAGTTTCTTATCCAGGTATTCCAGGCTTGTCTCTACTACTCTTTTTTTAGACTTTGGCATCACTAGCAACCTGTGTGGAGATTTCTGTGGAAAGGGCGCAGTGCAAGAAACCTTCATCTTAAAAGATCATCACATACAAAAATAATAATAGTTGAAAAAAACCCAAAACAGTTCAGTTGACCATTATTCTTTCCTAGCCGTGTCTCTCTGTAAACTCTTCAATTTTGGCAGTCTTCAAGGGTGGAGGTAGGGCTTTTTCAAGCCCAGCAGAAGAGTGGCCCCATGTAAACTTCATGGTTTGCATCCAGCTCTGAAGCACTCCCACCAGACCCACAAATCCCTGTCCCCGAACGAAGAGACTCACCAGAGGGCAGCACAATATTGCTTTATATTGTAAAAGTAGGCGTTAGCTGTTTCAGCTGTATAAAAGCTTGTTGAAATTAGCCGATTGTTGTGCCATAGCCATGACTGCAAATAAGTTTCTCTTTAAAGCTGGCCTCTGAAGCAGCTCCACAATCCCTTGTATTACGCATACGCTAACGTTTTAGGGTCCAGGGATTCACCACATGGAAGAAGGGGGAGTCCAGACAGTTGTATTTTCAATGTATCTCTCTGACAGGTTTCTTTCCAGGGCTGGTCAGGGCACCTGATGGGTGCTTGTCCAGCTTCAAGTATTTTAGAAGCTCTCCTGTGTTAAAGGCACCAACCTGAATGAATACTTTTATAGGCTCATCATTTGGGAGGCATTAAACAGTAGGAGTAAGCCCTGTGATGGCACTTCATGGGAAGGGTTCACAGAGGGTGAATGTAGGCTTGCTTCTTTTGTATTACAATTGTATTTTCTTCTGGTTGTCCTGTATGCCGAGCAGCTTCTAGGTCCTCTAGCACTTATGCCAAATTCTCACCATTCAAGGAATTAAGAGGTGTCACTGGTCACATCTTGCCTGCTCAGCTCCCCTGACGAAGGGCTTCATCCGCCATCAGTCTATTCCGATTTATTACTCTATTCTGCTTGCACTGGTAACTGGTATCTCCAGCAGTTGCCTCCCCTGGTTCCAGTGCCACTGTACTTTTCTGACCTTTTCTGAACTCTTTCTGTCTACTTACAGCCACAGCTTTAGTATCTGAATTCCGCCTCTTTTGCTGTACATTGACTACATCTTCTATCCTTGGTCATTCTCTTTGCTCCATTTAGCTTCTGCCTGGTGGGGTGTCTCGTGTCTAGCTTCAATCTTGCACTTCACTCCTGAGAGTCACATGTAGGTCTCCCTTGAATCTCTCCTTCTGATCTCCCTCCTTTTTAAGCTCAGTCTCAGCTCCATCTGCTCCTGCTCATCCCAACATTTCCTCATTCTGTACTGAAGTCTTCAAAGATACAGCTTTTCCATGGAGCTGCTCCCCATGCTTTCCTTGGATCAGCTGTTATCTTTATATAAAGGCCAGCAGCCTTAAGTTTATATAATAAAATAATAAATTTTCCTATTGTAGTAGTTTATGATACATTACTTAGTCGTATGAGAGTAGTGTAATATTGTTTTCCAGAGTAGGTATAAAATCATGAACTTAGAAATTATTTAAATTGTATCTTTCAAGACAACTTTGTGTTTTAAAAAAATCAATTTGTGATTCTGGTGTAAGAAAAAAGAAAAATATTTTGAAATCTCCGTTCTCTTTCATATATTTTTCTCTGACCAATGTTTGGGAAAAAAGAAAAAGACAAAAGTTTTCTTTTTTCATTTGCTTCTCCTTTTTTATTTCTTGGGAAGACTAAGGGAAAAAAAGACAACAGAAATGCTCACAGAAGATTTGGCTTGATTTTCATTTTTTTCACATTTAATTTTCATTTCATCCTTTTTTTTTCCAAGGAAGGAAGCAAATTAGTATTTTTTAAAAGGCAAAAGGATGTGAAAAAGAAGGCAAAAGATCTTTTAAGAATAATTTTTAAAAGCTTTAGCAGGGCAGAAAATCTCTTTGAAAATTCATGAAAATTGAAATTTGTAAAGAAAAATACTTCTATTCAAAACACTCAGCCAAGGTTTGGAGCTAGTTAAAGCAGCACAACTCTACAGTGTGCTTTGTAGAGTTTTCTAAACAAGGACAGTCCATCGCCTCTGCAGGAATCCGTCCCAGTGCTCAGTACCCTTGCACCTCATCAGAGAGGTCTCTGTGGGCATTACGCCAAGTTGTCTCCTGACTAAATCTGACTCAGCTTCTCTTAAGGTGTCTCCATTTCACAGTCAGTGGTGTGGCTGTAACTCAGCGTAGAAAGAACCTAAGTTTTGCTTTACAATAGGGGTGAGGCAGGGCTGTATCAGATTCACATCTGCAATATGTGTAATTTTTAGAGTTGGCTGCCATTGCTTTTAAATGTTTAAATTTTCAAACTCTACCAAGACAATGACAGAGGTACATTGCTTGGCAGTGGTCATCCCCAGAGAGTGGTGGCTCTTTAATGTTGGTGCTCAAGGTTACCGGTAAGACACATCTGTGCTTTGGCAAGGTGTGACACCTACTCTTCCCATCATATGTATTTATGGGTTTGAAGAAGTTACAGATTATCTGGCTTTTCTGTAACTTGGCCAAACTAGAAATAGTTAACTATACTTTGAACTTTTATCTTTCCAGGATTGGCAACTTTTTCCATCTTTTGTTTGTTTCTTTCCATTTCAAGTTATTCCAATGCCATTAATATGTAAAGGAAAAAAAAAAAATATCCACTATGGATAAATTAGTAGGAATTGGTTCTTCTTGGAAGGTGTCCAGAAGTCTGATGCTGCATGCTAGAAACCAGTGAGCCTGTTTTATGTAGGAACAGGAATGTTATTTGTAAGAGCTACCCAGTCACATGGCTTAAGTTTCTTCTGCTGACTCACCAGATTTCCTTTGATGTGAATGGCCTTTTCCTGAAAATTAATCTTTTTTTCTTGTAAGATTTTAATAACAAAATGATGACATGGTGAAAGCCTGTAAATGGACTTTGCATAACCAATTCCTAAATTATGGATAAATTGGTATCTTCAGCAGTGCAGAATGAAAGACACCTTTTTAATTTTGCCATGTCAACAGTGTATTACATTAAGAATATGTACACAATTTTAGAGTATGTTGTACACCAAAACTTGTTGGAACTAGGTGATCTTTAAGGTCCCTTCCAACCCAAACCATTCTGTCATTCTGTAAATACCATTTACCCGGGATGTCTCTCCATGCACTGATGTGCTGTAGCAAAAGTTGTGTTTATTTAAGTTCTTGAAAACCACTCTGTCTACTTTTCTTGTTAGTCGTTTTCTTAGACTCAGGTGGGGAGAAGCAAAAAAACAGTTCATTATTATTACTCTCCAGACATACTATGAAGAAAATAAGCATTTCACATAGAAAGAAGACTAGAGCTGATCTGCTGCAAGATAGGGTTTTGTGGTGCTCCTTTTAAAGACTTACCTAGCATATTGATCACTGTATGTCAAGCACCGCATCATGTGAAGGCAGGAGACATTAAGAGGGAAGGAGGTGAATGCCTGCTTCAGTTCTCTTTTTAGCCTGTACCTTTGCAGAAGTTGTAGTTGGGTTTAAAGCTCACTTTTCAATGAAGTTAACAAATATCACTGCAAAATAGACAACTCTATCCCTCAAAGAGGATTTATAGTCTTCTTCCTCAAAATAAGAGTACAGAGATACTGTACTACCTTTTATTCATGTTGAGATTGTAGATAAGTAACACCTTCTGTTAATATTTGACAAGGTTTGTTCTATGTCACTGTCAGAAACGTAGCTGAAAATCTCTTTGGCTGGCTGGCTGGTACTTGAAACTGTCTTTATCTAAGATCTGGATTCGAAAATCTCTCCTGCCAGACTTACAGCTGTCAGTTTCATTATCTTTAAAAATGTATATTAACCTCTTAATGGTGTTTTTCTTTCTGCAGAAACAGAAGGTGCACGCAGCACAGATGCCAGCCTTCTCCGACAAATAACCTTTTCATCCCCAAGTGACTCCATCTCCTGCCAGTACCATGGGGCCAGAGGGTGGTTTCTTAGGCAGTGGACAGGTCCACATCATCCTATGGGGAAGTTTGGCAGCCATGACAACACTCTTGTTCCTCACCTTCCTCATCTTCCTCTGCTCCAGCTGCAACAGGTAAGGCTAAAGAGCTTAGCAGGCAGAAATGGTTCTTGAGTCAAATAGGGTAGGGACTGAAATAGCTTCACTAATAACTAGTTAGAAAGACATAGTGAGGACTTGGGTACAGAAATAAAAAAGTACAGTACAAAATGTGGTTTTGGAGCAAACCTGAGTTTGAACAGTTCTGCTCATTCTGAAATCTAATTATTTTTTTTTTCTTTTGCTGTGAAGGAAGAACATTGTTGTGTTTGCTAGGTGCTTTCTCCTACACTGAAGCCTGGAGCGCAGGCAGACACTGACTGTTAGCAGATCACACTGCTAACCTGAAACGGTTATACTAATTAATGTCTTGTATTCATACCTTGTCCTTAATTTCTTCTCCATAAGAGGGTTCAATTTCACAAATACAGGCATTTCTACTGACTTTGTTGAGTCACATTTCAAGGCCCCTTCATGACACGTAAGCAGAGCCCTGCTGATTGCAGAGAGAGCTGGGCAACCTGTGCTTAATCCACAGCGCCCTTCCACCAGGTCAGACCCTTCGTAATGAGGAGCACAACTGCTGGGGTCCATAGTGCTATATTTTGCCAGCATAGCTCTATCAGCCAAGTGGGGGGGGAGGGGGGGTGAGGTGGAACTTATGCATAACTGAGTACAGCAGCACCCGTATGCCTGTAGGAGCATGTTCTTCCAGCCATTCAACATTGAGAGCATTGAGAAGGCTGTGCAGCTGTAACATACACTATATTGGCATAAGGTGTGTCTACAGTGGAAGGGCCTGGTTTTCTGCAGGATTTCTGTATTGGCAATGTTGTAAAAAATAGTCATGGGAAAGACTAGACCCCAGAAGTTGGTTGAAACCCTAAAAAGCATAAATTGGAACTTGTAATTTTATGTGATTCAGGAGAAATGCTTTTGTAAGCTGTAAGATAACGTTTCAGTATCTTAGAATGGTTTGCATTGGAAGGGACCTTAAAGATCATCTATTTGCAACTAGACCAGGTTGCTCATGGCCCCATCCAGCCTGGCCTTGAACACTTCCTATTCTTGAACACTTCCTATTCTTTCCTATTTATCACAGTTCCCTGTGATGCCTGTGTATAAGTAGTAAAAATATTTAAATTTTAATTTTATATTAAGTATAAAATCTGATATAAAAATCCTTAAGCCCACAAACATTGCATTTAGGTACCATTTTTTGTCGTGTAACACTCCAGTCTTTGAAACTAGAAACATCTCTAGAAAGATGTTTTTAAAACAGAGTCAAACCACTGAGTACATCTTTGCAGTTACAGAGATAGATTATCAGAAACCATCTGGTGATGCTCTTTATTAAATTCTTGTGTTGCTGGTCTGGACACAGGATCTTTTATTTCAGATCATTCTGTAGGGCAGGTTGTTCATGCATAAATGCAGTTACGTAAAATTTTTCCTAGCTTACTCTTCAAAAATGGTTGAGGATATGGAAAACTGAACAAAATCCACTCTTTCTGTAATGTCAGAGTCAGAAAAACTTTCAGAGAGGAAATAAAGTATTTTTAAACTTGAACTCTGCTCTGCATTGGTCTTTACATGCTCTGATTTCTTATTTCCCAATTAGGTAGAATTTTAACAGTCACTGATGTGGGAACTACAGTGCACTGCAGACTTCAGAAGCAGCACAGATTTCATACTGTCAATATTTTCTCACCTTTTTACTTGGCTTTTCATCTAGGGAAAGGACTGTAATCATTTTAAGCTCATAGTTTATTACAATATTTCAGAATAAGAGCTGTATTTCCAAAATGGTAATAACTGGAAACTTGATCCATATTTTGAGTTCTGTGAAGTGCCTGGTGAAGCAAGACTCATTTTGAAATTAGGGCCTCTGCTGCTAAGATATTTGTAGGCCACCTTGAACTGCTCATGCTTACTATTAACTGTTACTAGCATCCTGAGTGGGAGTAGGCTAGATTTTGTGGGCCTTTTCTAATTCTTCATAGGATAAATACCTGTCACTGACACAGTTTAAGGAACTTTCCAAGTAGTCTGTCACCAGAACATGTATCTCATGTATCTCTGAGCATTTTGGATATGACAATAATATTTTTGTTATCATTGGTTGCTCCTTACCATGACCTTCTACTGAACGAGAAAAATGGTGGTGATATACATACCTCTTCAGGTACCACCCTGCCTCTCTTGATAGTAACCTCACAGAGGGGTCATACCAGTCCCTGTGATAATTTTCAGTTACTCTATTTTCAATATTATTGTGAATCACAATACTATTCCCTGTACGTGTGTAAGGTCTCTTAATGATTGACATTTGTATATTAGCATAATGTGTAGTAACAGTTCATATGTCTTTTTCATTAAGGGAAAAGAAGGCCAAATATCAGAATGGAGATCATGAAAATCTGATGAATGTGGTAAGTATTTATTTCTGGCAGCTTATGTCTCTCTTGTAGTTGGTTTGTACCAAGCTCCCTGCAAAATACTGCGGATTGGAAAATAACTTGGGAATTTGGAAATGGTTGAGCAAGGGAAACTTTAAAAGTTGCAGAACAGGAAGAGGAGAGGAGCTGAGTAGACCCTGATAATCTGCACTTTCTCAATGCTCTTTATGTAGTTGTACTCCGGATCTTCTGCCTGCGTTTCACGCCATTTGCAGCACAAGTGCAATGTACCATTTGTCAGTGCTGTCTTCCCATGGATTAAAGCCATGGTAAAGTCTATTATGACAAGGGTTGGAAGGGAGACCACTCTGGACATACTTTGATTTATTTGGTTTTATATCTGTAAACACAAGTACCTAAATCTTTGAGTATAGTCAGCATGGTTTGACTCTTCCTGCCAATAAAACCTGTGAATCACAGCTCCCAAGATTGGAACAAAGTATGTCACCTCTGTATTTATGCAGACATGTATTCTGATCCAGCAGTGGTTAGATCTCACTAATCTGTGTTTCAGCCTTCTGACAAGGAGGTGTTCAGCCACTCGATCACAAGTTCAGCTACTGAACCCCCTCCGAGCACCGACCAGAACGGGGCACTCAGCAACGGTGAGGGTGAGTTGCGCAGCCCCTGCGGGTGGGATGAATGAGCATCACTGTCCCTTTGCTCACAGCTCCCACACTGGTGAACCCTCGCGTCTTAGGGATCAGCTTTCCAAGCACAAAGTCATGCCATTTGTCTGAATATCCTTTGTTTCTGTCTGCTCATCTCTGGAGGCCTGACACCAGATCAGCTGCTGTATCCCAGGGTAGAGGCTGGGCATGCAGCTCTCTGGAGGGCAGTCAGTCCTCTTCATGCAGAACATAATTCACACAAAACTTAGGATCAAGACAAAAAGTGCAGTGAGCATGTTTGCCTTGCTGGGAAGTAGCCTATCCCAAGGAGATGTTGGAATTTTAGGCTGCATCTTCACTTCCCTGCTGGGCATGCTCTGGCATAGCCCTATACCCCAGCTTCCATTCCTGGGCTCGAGCCAACACTGGGGAAGGGCTAAGGGCCTCCTCTGGACCACTAAGTTTACACCTGCAGATTGACCAGGCCATCAGGCAAAGACTGTGGTGTCTTTGTTTTGCTAAACTAAAAATAAACTGTCTCTCAGCTCAGAGCCACTGGAAGACAATTGTTGTCTCCATGCTAGGCACCAACACCGGGGGCTGTGCTCCCAACTTAGAGCTCACCTCCTCATCAGCTTGTGTGGCCAGAGGTGTTCAGTCTTTCCCCCTCAGAGATGAGTATCCAAAGCAAATTTTAAACTTTGGTTTGCAGCTAATTGCTGCTCCCATCCATTGGGTTGTGGTGTTTTTAGGTATGTATGTGGCTCACCAAGGGACTCCATGTGCAGAGCAAAGCCCTACAGAAGGGAAGCATTTCTCTTTGCCGTGAGTCACCACACATGCAGCCAGCAAAGCTGCTACAAAAAGGTGTGCTGTCAACCAGCAGACAGTTTTCAGACTCTCTAATACTACTCAGCTTACACTCTGCATAACAACCCTTTCGGATAATGGGAACCAATGTGCTTTAATTTCTTATTTATCCTTTATGTGGGTTTTTGTTAATAGTTCTTTTTATTTTGCTGTTTATGCTAGCATTTTGAGCAGAGGCAGGGCTATAGAAGCAGCACCATCAAATATTTTTTCTTTTACCCAACCTGTGTTTATCCATGCCAACCCCTTATCTACACCAACCCCTTCTGTGCTAGTACCCATAACCACAAGAGCACAGAAACACAAGTTCATTGCTTCTGATTATCCCCCTCAGGCTGAAGAAGGTGGGCGCTCTCTGGGGCCTGTGATGGTGCTCTGCACAGCACAGAAATCCCTGGGAGCAAGGGCCAGGAGGGGAGAACACCTTTTAGCTTCTCCAGGGTGGTTCCTGATGTCCTTTAGAAAGACTGGAGGCATCCTGGAGAGTGAGTAGGACACCTTGCCTGTCTCCTGTTCTTCCCCAAGTGGTATGCAGGAGCCAAGTGAATGGAGAAGGTAGTTTTCCTTTTCTTCTCCTCCCATCTCCCATTCAGACAGCGAGAGCCATCTCACACCTCCCAGTCCCAACCTGAGTTTTGCTGTCAGGATATGGCTCCCTGTGGGTGCTGGCTGCATGAATCTGCATGTCCTGAGCACCAGAGAAAGCAAACCATGAAATCAAGTGTACTGATTGCTTCAGCAACACTTTATGTCTTCACGTCAAACACACTGAAGGAAAAATGGGTCGATTTTGTTTAGAGAGTACCGTAGGAACTGTACTGAGAAAAGTAAAGCTATTCAGAAGTGATTTTTCAAAGAATTGTGTAACATAAAGTTACATGCCAAATAGTACCTGAAACATGCTTGTACATGCCCATGTATACATCCCTGAATGTAGGCAAATGTCATACATGTGCACTGTAAGATGAGAAACCCCGTAGATGTCAGTCCCTCTAGTGACAGCAACACATGGCCCACTCTGGGACATTAAATAACATGTTCTGCCTAACACTACTTTCTGAAGCCTAGTCTTCTCTTTTGTGTATATGGCTGGCTTGTTAGTAGGTTGTCAACCCACATTATGTGCTGTGAGACTAACAGAAGTATGGCATAGCCTTCCGGTGGGGAGCTTCTGGTGTAGTGTGCGGGGAGCTGACTGCAGCAGGGCTGAACACAGGCAAGAATTTGTCCAGCATGTTAAACAAGGCAAGGGCTGGGCAGGGAGGAAGCAAGAAACCTTTCCTTTTTGATTCCAAAGGATAGCAAAATGGAAGGAGGAAAATCTAACAAGGCTTTTTTCAAAGCCACTTGGCTTGAGGCCTCCCACCAGCGTTCCCCGTCTGAGACTACTGGGCAATCCGTGAGCATTCAGTATAACTGAGTACAAGCCAGCTGACCATCCATGCCCACCTGCATCTACACACCCATCCCCTGTGCTTACTGTCAATGCTGTTGCTATATAATGTGACTTGGGGGTGCACAGAGTATTGACGATGTTGTGAGAAAGAGTGCAGAAATCTCTGTAACTGAAACCTTTTGATCAACAAAAAGCATGATGACCACTAGACATTTCCAGGCATTAGAATCATTTATCCTCTCCAATGAGACACAAAACCAAAGTGATGTAGAAAAGTACCAAATTACACTCACCTTATAGTTACGCATTTGTTTTAAATACTTCTTTATAATTTTTTCTAGTGCTCTCAGAGGACAGCACAGCTGCTTGTATCCAGCCTTACGAAGAAGTACAGACGTCTGATCTGCTAGATCAACAGGATGGTCTTGGAAAGTCTATAAAATGTCACCAGACCCGGGAACTACCCAGTATTCCCCCTAACACCACCATGGAAACCATCATCTCGGCTAGAAATGCGGAAAATGATCAAGGTCTTGGAATGGAAGGGCCTTACGAAGTCTTGAAAGACAGCTCCTCTCAGGAGAACATAGTTGAAGACTGCTTGTATGAAACTGTGAAGGAAATTAAAGATGTTGGAGCAGTAGCCAGCATGGAAGGGAGCTCTAACAGCAAATCAAAGGCTTCACTGACAGTTTCTGAAGGTCAGAATCAGATTCCTGAGTGCAGAATTGAATCAGCAGAATATGCATCTGTTGACCGAAATAAAAAAAGTCGCCAAAGTGCTAATTCAGAAAGTCCTCTTGACAACACACCAGATGTAGAAGATGAGCTTCCCCCGCCAGTACCCATGAAACTTCTCGATGAAAATGAGAATGTACAAGAAAAAGAAGTGGAAGAAGAAGTGACAGAAGGAGCAAGTAAACCAGAGAAGGTAAATACTGCAAATACTTGTCCCTGTCAAACAGCCTAATAATGATAGAGAAGATATGGGTTGGAGAGGGTTTATTTTTCTTTAATATCAAAAAAATGCCAAGGAAGAAAAAACACTCAAGGTGAAGCAAAACTGTAAAATACATAACTATGAAAATGTGCAGTATAGTCTTTGCATTATAGGCATGCACTCATTGTGTTCCTGTCTATATTTTGGATTGTTGCAGTATGCACTTCATTAAGGCTTTCCCTAAATATTAGCCAGAAATTGCATAGGACTCTGCTTCTTTGTTTAATGCTATTATACTTGTGGGAGCTATTACAATGGGCATCCAGTATCTGTCAGCATCTATATCTTGTTCAGAACCCCCTCCCCCTTGTTGTTTTCTACTAAAAATAACCTCAGTTTACAGAGAAGAGTGGAGGGCATTCTTGGTGGATTCCCTAACTTTAGATGTGCCTCCTCTGTTGGGGTACCTTGACCTAGCTGTGCAAGTGTTAAGTATCTGCTCAAAGCCACTTGTCTCATCTCTCTCTGTAGAAGAGAGAGACAGCAAGAGTGAGAGATTGCAACTGTAGGCTTTTATATTTGCTAAATTCTGTATGTCACATGTAAACAGAGTAATGAATTTCTACCCACTGAAATCTTGGCCAAAAGTTATGTTCTTTTAGCAGTTTATTCTTCATCCCAGCCTAGGAACAAGTTAGTTACGAACTCCTTGAAAAACAGAATGATGACATTTTCAATAGTTTATCTCCCATATTTAGTTCTTAACCAGAATTTATTTAAAGGATGCTTTCAGATCATTGCACAGATTTTTCCTGAACTTTTGAGTTCGCATTTTTCAGAACTAGTTTAGGTCACTTATTATTAATTGTGAATGAAAGAAGTATGATTTTTAGCATATTATATATAATCTTAGTGTTTGTGTCATCAAATAATAGGCACTAATGAAAATTAAAAAACCAAAATCTTTCAGATGTAATGTGAAATTTTAATGTAAACATTTACCTGAAAAATCATAGCAGAGCTGAGGTATTGTTACTTGTTTCTGGTTGTTCTCTTACTTGAAGTATTTCAGTAATCCAGGTAGAGGGCAGGAAAATACCTTGTTAAATAATGGACTAACCATGTAACCTGTGAAGCACAGTAGAGTCAAAATGAATTAACTGAAGATTACTCCAAATATAAATATAATATAATATACAACATAGAATATAGAATATAGAATATA